ATATATTTATGGTACTTTTTTCATTATATAGTAAAAAAAAAAAAAATAACCCCCCCGTGGGGTCACAAAAGAAACCTCTATCTGTCCCCAAAAATGTTTAACATATATTGCAAGGCTATAGTCCGGTCATGCTGACTGGTGAGACACCGCCAAATTTTTCAAGATAGAGAGATATAGATATATATATATATAAAATCTATCCTACTAATCAAGAACAATCTTCATAGTGCCTTCTCAGGAACGTTTTCAGCCACCCTTCATCAGAATGGATGACCAAATCCCCCCCTTCTCCCTTATGGAGAGCTACGACTGTCTATGGGGCATCCTGTGAGTAGTCACAACTGTATGGGTCACGCTTGGAGCAATAACTGGAGAATTGGTTGAATATCTAGCAAGAAAAAAAAAATACACACACAACTAGGTCATGTCTTCAGGCCAACTCGTTACAATAAATTCATCCACAAATCTTGTAATAAAAAAGGATATATTCTTCAATCTGAGCCCCAAGCTCCTCGTCATCTGCACCAATTGTAATGTAATCATCTACAGGGAAAAAAAAAAACCATAAAAGGCAGATGGTTATAGAACAAATACAGACAGGATACTTTGAGCACATCATACCGATTACTCTCAATTACCATATAATACAACATTTTATTAGCTGATCCTCAAACATGTTCTATTGAAAAGGTTTTTTCTAGACCGGTTAACAAGTGTAACTGGGCAGCTTGCCTGCTTACCCGGAACAAAAGACAGACACATCTGAATGACAATAATGCCAGTCACAGAATCAAAGAGAACCCGTCAGCACTATGCATAAAGCCCTTTTCACTGTGAACTATGTAACCGGACAAAAATAATGACGATTTCAAGAAAATAAACCAATAAAATTTCCTTTTGATATATTTAGAAGTGAGGACTTCTCTACAAGACCCCATTCTCATCTGTGCGTGAAGGTGTGTGTGTTTTCAGGCACGTGGTCTCACTTTCTAAGACATGCGGTCGTGACTTTCAATGTGCCCTGGCTGCAATATGGGGGGGGGGGGGGATTTACTAAAACTGCAGCAGACTGAGGAATCTGGAACAGCTATGCATGGCAACCAACCAGCTTCTAGCTTTCATTTTCAAACCTCAACTGAACAAGCTGAAGAGAAACTTTATCGGTTACCATGCACAGCTGCTTCAGATTCTGCCTGCTCCAGTTTTAGTAAATCCCCCCATTGCGTTTGGGTGCAGCATGTGGTTTGCCGTGACAGTGATTGCTGTGTGTGGGGCTGCCCTGAACTAAATGGGCTGCCCTCTTTATGATGCACAAAAATGTGCATACATGCGTGTGCACGGTCGCATCCACACAAGGGTGAACAGGGGCTAAGAGTTAAACCGCATACTACCTCATTCCGAGGTAAGCAGCTTTCCAGTCTTATGAAGAAGGAAAGTTATAGAAAGGCTTAAATACTCTGCAGTTTGATCAGCACATTTTCTGTCCTTTTCCCTGAAAACATGGCTATTAAAACCTTTCATTGCATAGATACACCTAGTCAATAGGCTTCTGCACTTTTACACTGTAGGACAATGCTAAACAATTGCATGCCCTCTAGTGGCAATAAAGCGACATTACCTGGAGAAAAACAAGCAAGTAAAAATAAAAATGTCAAAAAGCAGAACCATTTATAAAAACCGAAAAATATTTCCATACTGCCTGACCAGATTCCTAGAGAACAAAATATGAAACCAGATGTCACTATAGGCATGATTCTATTTGGTGAAGAATGTTATTTCCCGGCATTGTTATCAGTGTGCCCTTTTAAAGTATTCAGATGTTTGTGATCTACACATAATGAACATATAGTCAATAGTGTGAAAATGTATTTAAACTCACCTCCTGTTTTCAGAGCTGCAGACAGTAGTTCTCTGCATTTAATTCTAACGGGGTCGGATGTACTAGGGGCTCGTGGATAAGAGGTAATTAAGTTTTCAGATGATGCGGCACAATCTTCCTTCCGAAAGCTGGAATTACTGCTTGAACTGCTGGGAGCGGGAAAGAGAGGCGTGTAAAGCAGAACGGCCTGAAAAACAGTATACGGCCCTGAACCAAACCATAACACCCCAGGTTTTTTTTAGTATTATGTTAATGTAATGGATATGTGCAATTTACTAGCAGAGTCATAAGCTTTCAGTGCTGTGGAAATATTCAGCTCCACTAAGCCAGGGCTGGACAAAGCCCAGGAGCCAGGTAGCCAATTCCAACACTGCTGGATATAACCAGGCAGTGTAGGGGCCAAGCAAGTATCAAATGTAATAAAGAATTTCCAATCTTATGGAGAAGATTAGGAGAACCCATAACAACGTAACGTAACATCGTAACTATTAATACTGAACCTTGTGTATCACTTGGCTGTAGATCCTCCAATCATCTCTGAATTGGTGCGGACACTGTCCTTCCTTCTGGAGGGGGGATACTTTGGTTCCTCGTAGTCCCTGTGTGTGTTGTAAAGTAGCCACCGCTCCAAGCTTACTCCCATGATAGACTACATTCTCAATACAAATTAGTAAACTAAACATGAGATTGTAGGCAATCAGGGGAGCGAGCTTGGAGTGGTGACTACTTTACAACACACACAGGGGCCATGGGGAACAAAAGTAGCCCCCCTCTGGAAGAAAGGACAGTGTCAGCCTGAATTCAGAGATGATTTGAGGATCTACAGCTGAGAGGTACACAAATAAGATACATTTTCGTTAATAGTTAAGGTACTTGAATGAAGAGTTTAGTGTCACTTTAAATGAGAGGGCCAGGGCAAATCTCTTAAATGCAACTCCACTGTTGGAAGAAAAAACAAATCGTTTCCATGTCATTTATATGTTTTAAGGATACTGGCAAACTTGTTGTATATTAGAGATATTCAAGATGTTTTTGAAGGACATTTTCACCATTAGCTTATGAGAAGAATGCCCCATACACTGACCACATTAAGAGACAAACTGAGCAGAGTACCACTTTCCAGTGGACTGCTCCGTTTTATGATCTACATTTATAGCAACCAAAGTACACTTACTGCAAAACACAGGCAGCACCACTTTGTAGGGCGATTCACCAAGACCCAGTAATGCAAACAGACCCCAAAACTACCATCTCTACTGTGTACAAGTGGGCAGCGACCTTGTAATACTACAATCGGGATAGAACTAGAAGTAGTAAAGCTACACAATAACAAATAAAAGCAAAAATACCTTTCTTCCCTGGGCTCTGGGCTGTTCTGTGCAGGAGGCGGCTGCTCTTTCTTTTTTTCCTCTTGATCTTTGTCACCTGAAGGACCATCTTAAAAAAAAAGGAAAATTTAGCCTAAACATGACAGCCTTACTGATGTAAAAGGACAGAAAAGTCAATAAGATACTTCTATGAAACTGTCACAGGAAATTGCAGGCAAGGCTTGGACCTAAAAAGACAGAAGATTCTGGAACCAGGATCCAATTAAAAAGGCCCGCAGGTTTCCGCAGAGGCCAAGAGTGTAAAGGCCGAAAGTGCAATTGCACCGCCCTTTCATTTTTTACCTGATACTATCCCTGAGGAAGAAGTAAATGGAATTACCTATCCTTCTAGTCTGGCATTACCTACCCCTCTGGAGCAAAGAAGGTTGGAAACAGACCCTGGCAGCTAATTAAAACTGTTGTGCATCTCTCAATACGTTTTGAAAATCCCCTCACACGATTACTATGATGCCCCCTCTCCAAAAAGGAAAGAGAATTAATAGAACATCAAATTTGTAAGTTGACTGCAGAGTCTTGAAGGTTTTCTATAGAAACATTTCCATTGTATCCTGAGCACATATGCAGATCGGGAGTTGTGACTTTACTGGCTATATGCCTGCAGTGGTTCAGTGATGGAGCACAGAGGTCAGCACTAGCAACATACATGGTCTTAGTACAGGTTTCCTTTTAAAAAAAAAAAGAAGAAGAACTGCTAAAGCTATTCAAAAGTCAAATAGAAACTGACATCATAAAACGTAACTAAAGATGGAATTTCACATGGAAAAAAAACAAAACAATTTTATGAAAAAAAAAACACACAGAAACTTGCCATTCATTGAGTATCTGTGCGTCTAACAGTCAGGAATATGTGAAGAAATTCTAACCAGAGATTCATGTGGTCAATTAAGTGTTTTATCTGCCAAAGGATTTCCATTTCTATTAAGCAATTCCTGTAATCCTCTCAGCAGGCTATACTAGATCGAAGTAACAAAGGGTGATCAATGACTTGTCTCAGGGCCTTGTCACATCATCAAGAGTGCGTTCGGCCTCTGGAACGCAACCCGGCCGGCTCAGTTTTTCTGGGGGCGGGAGGGGGCGTGGCGGTGCATTGAACTCAATGACAGAGGCAGAACGCACTCCTGATCGTGTGACAGGGCCCTCAGCCTGCGACTAGACAGTGCAGGAGTCATGTACTATACCCTTCTGTAAGCATCCTTACAATGTTAAACAGACTGCACTGTGTAGTCACCCCACTTACAGACTAAAGCTGGCCATAGACCTATAGATTATCTGCAGATGTTCTATGGTCAAATGGAAAAAGTGCAACAGATTCCTCCATCTACGCTAAACACATGTCAAAATGTATGGTAACGTGCAAATAACCGCACAGTCAGTTCATAAAAGGGGATTATAAAGTGAATAAAATCCAGTGCTCTGGTTCAACACACACCTAGTGCATAATTTGGGGGGAGGGCGAGGCACGTGGACCACCTGTTTAGGCCGCGCTAAAGGCACTGATTGTCTACAATCCAGTGTTGTACAAAAATTTGTATTAGTGAGAGTGGGCCCTTATCTCAATATTGTGCAGTGCCAAAGCATTTGATGACAAGTGTAAGAAATGATTACTAAAAAACAAATGAGCCCAGTACATAACTTCTCATTTTAAACATATTCCTCATGACCAGAAGAAGTGTCTGTTGTTACAAACAGCTGGAAGAAGGCAAACCACCGTTACCTAGAAGTTTTTTCCAGGACTTAATGAGCGATTTGGCTAGAGAGGTCACGTCATCATCTGAGCTTTGTTTGCGGATGGCGTTCACTGACATTCCGATCCGTGTGGACTGGGCAAAAAAAACAAAAAAAAATGAGTCAGTTACTGTATCAGCACATACAAGAATTACACCAATGACAATGGAGAAAAACAGGTTTTCATGCACAATCACTATTTGTAAATTTATGCCAACTGGAAAAAATACAACATTATTATTAGACAGGATTTATAGAGCGCCTACAGTTTGCTCAGCACTTTACATCATATGGGGATACAGTACTATAACAATTAGGGCTGCGGAAATTAGCGCGTAGTAATCCCTCGATTAATCGTTAATTCTTTTGATCGGTACTCACCTCTCCGCCGGCTTCCGGGGTCTTCCGTCGGAGATCCGGTGACGTCACGGACATCGACGTCACGGGACTCATCCCCCCTTCCTCAAGTGGCTCTGTCGGCTAACGAAGGGAAGGGGGGAGGAGTCCGGTGACATCGTTGTCCATGACGGCTAACGCAGGGAAGGAGGGAGGAGTCTCGTGACGTCGATGTCCGTGACATCACCGGACTCCTCCCCCCCTTCCCTTTGTTACCTGATGGAATCACTTGGGCCGGTGAGTCTCATGGTTCATGATTGCATCGAATGTGTGGACACAATGTCTACAAGCTAAAATATCATGTAAAATCTGCGCTTATGGAACAATGGGAGATATGAGTAACCAATACTAAAGCTGCTGCACTAAAGACACTGAGGCCAAAAGATTTATATAATGAATGTGCAGTGCTAAGTGTGCTTTTTTTAGGTAATGTGAATGAGCATTTATAATAAATGAACGAGAGATTTATTATAACGCTACCTGCACAGTCCTGGTGAGAGGCAGCCTTCACAGGCTACAGCAATGGTGAGAGCCCTGTGGAGACACTAGAGAGCCCTGTGGAGACACTTGGAGAGCCCTGGTTTAACCAGGGCTCTGTGGGGTCTCAACAGCTGTCTGTGGGGTCTAACAAAGTTTGTTAGAGCCCTGGTTAGACCTCACAGAGCCCTGCTACCCTGGCGAGACCCCCTCAGAGCCCTGGCGAGACCCCACAAAGCCATGGTGACACCCTACGGAGCCCTGGTGCTGGTGAGACCCTACAGAGCCCGGGTTTAACCAGGGCAGTGTGGGATCTCACCAGGGCTCTGGAGGGGTCTAACCAGGCTGGCGAGGCCCCCACATAGCTCTGGTGACACCCTACAGAGCCCTGGTTAAAGCAGGGCTTTGTAGGGTCTCACCAGGGCTCTGTGGGGTTTAACCAGGACTAGTGAGACCCCACTGAACCCTACTTTAACCAAAAATTTCGATTAATCGAACAGGAAAATTTTAATCATTACCAGCCATAATAACAATACAATACAAAAGGATTAGAAGGACCCTGTTTGTGAGAGCTTACAATCTACAAGGAGGGTCAAGTGATACAGAAGGTAATAACCGAGGGATGAGCTGATTGAAGGGGTAGATGTACAGTTTTGAGGTGGGATAGGCTTCCCTGAAGAGGTGAGTTTTCAGAGATTGCCTAAAGGCTGACAGATTAGGAGATAGCTGGATAGGTTGTATTAGCGAGTTCCAGAGGATCGGAGAGGTTCTGGAGAAGTCCTGGAGGTATCTAGAAAGCAGAAGCTCTTGGGAGGAGTAGAGGGGATGGTTTGGGTGATAGAGCATGCACTTAGGCGCATGCTACCATGGGGAATGATGACTATACTGGGCACATGTTTAGTGCATCCAATACCCTCTATGGCAGCAGCCAGATCATGTGCTGTTGTGAATGGACTGCAGAGTATGTTGGGACCAGCACTTTTGTACACTGATGATGCAGTGACGATTTTTTTTAAATTATTAGCTGCAATAAGGTTGGCTTGAACAAGGTGGAAGACAGTTCAAAACTGCAATAAGACCTAAAGTAGAAATAAAGTATTTTTTTTTTGCATATATTTGCTGCTAGTAAGAAGTAGATATATGCCCCAACATTAAAAATAAGAAAGTTGGCAAATACCAACTAACTTACCTGTCAACGCCGCTTGCTCCCGCTGCAGAAGTTCCAGCTCCAGAAACGCTGTGAAGGAGCAAGTGTGGGCAGGTGCATGTGCAGTACAGATCGTCGGAGGGGAGAGGAGGGGAGAACCGCTGACACTAAATGGACGCAGCCAGGAGTGCGCATGCCGGACAGACTCTGCACGACCTGAGGAGTCTGCTCTGGATCAGAGACCGGAACCAGCGCTGGAAGGACTTTGGAAAACGAGTGGAAGGAAGAAGCTGTTCGGATCAAGAGGCATCACATAAGGTAAGTCCTTAAAGCAATATGGGGGGAATTCTAGCTTTAATGCTTACAGAATATATAAAATACTTCTTGGTAAGTTCTGCACCATAGACAGAAAAAGATTCCTACATACAAAAAAGAACTGACAGAGAAGTCATTGCAGCTAGAAAGAGAAATGAAAGTGAAACATTTAATGCTAGCAGACATCCAAGTTTCACATGTTCATTATTTACTAGAAACTGAACAGAAAAAAAACAAACATACAACTGATCCTCTCTAAGCCTCCATATGAAAGGAAACCTGTTAGAATGAAAACAATACACAACGTGAAAAGGTCATTCAAGAGCCTGAAAATTCACAACCTAATCTTCGCTATTTGTAAGGCTGCCCGTTGACGGCAGAGATTTATGTTCTACCATATCCCTTACGTCAGTAGGAAAGGGTTAAAGACCCTGTAATAAATAAATTATATATATATATATATATTTTCCAGAAATGCACTCTGCTCAATGTGTTGTGTCAGGCTTTTTTGGAGTCGAGTTGCAACGCAATTTGACTCGTTCCAGGTGGGCTGAAAATGGTGGCATGTGCTGCAAGAAGTGCAACATGCAGTACTTTTTTTCAGCGCCCCACAGTACAACTGCACCAGACCACACGGTGACATTCCAATAAAGTTCTAACAAAACAAAGTTTAAACAGTCCAAAGCATTGCAATTAGTGCATCTGCACTGTGCCTGGCACACCAGCAGCCTTGTAGTGTAACGCAGCTGCTGTTGTGAATGGGCCCCTAAGGACCACATTACCGCACACACGTTAACAAGTGTACTGTTGTTGCTTCGATTTTTGGAAGTGCCATTCAGAATGAATATCACCAAAGTGCACTAATGTGTGCATGCTACAGTAGTACAAGACAGCATTTGTACTGGATAAAATTGGGAAGGATTAAAACCCGTGATTTTTATTTTTTTGGTGTGTATTTGGAAAGACTGTCCTTCACTTCCTGTTTTTCTGACAACAAAATCTGAGAGAAAATCTGTTCAAAGAAAGATCTTTTCCCATGCACAGCTATCACTACAAATGTAGAAAAGTATCACTACAAAATCCTGCAAAATGTTGCACACAAGAAAACAATGAGAAATTTTAAGAGCTCTGATATCCCCCCCCCGCCCCCCCCCAAAAAAAACCTATATTTTTTTATTATATCCAAAAATCGAAAAAAATCACAGGTCACACATTAAAAAGAGAGTTTGCCAACCTGAACAGAATCTAAGGGAGAGATACATAATTAATGTATCACTTAACAAATATACCCAAATACAAATGGATATGAGCAAACTACTCCCCCCCATCTAAATTTGCTTTCCCATTTCAGAAAGCAACTATATATTAGGAAGAGGGCGTCAGGGTAATGGTTAGAAATACACAATATCCCACTTCACAAAAATATGAAATGTAGGTATGAAAAGCATCATGATTGATTATCCAGATTCCTCAATCCCATATATGAAAGTGTCTCAAATCCCGATGCACAGAACAGACTGTTGTCCAACAAGTGGTAACCCAACTCAGCTACAACAAGTGCAGATACATAGGCTCCTTTTTTTTTCTTTCAAACAGTTCATATACAAGCAGCTATAGCAGGTCCACAATGGAAGGCCAATGGATCTCTCCACAACTGCAGAACCTTGGAAATAAAGATGTAGTCAAAGACCAGGTCCAAGTCACCATGTCAACCTCCAATAGAATACATTGGTGCAAAACTGAAATAATACACGGCCCGGCCAAAAAATAAAACAAGTAACACACTCTAATATTTAGTTGGACTGCCCTAGAGTTGGCCAAACACTATGTGAATTTCATCAAGAACCGCCCGAAATTCGCAGAGTAGGTGCAGCTGTTGGCGCCCTTTCAGCCGGCATCCCTCAAATCTTCATAGGATGAGAACCGGCAGTCAATGAGCTACTGGCTCTGTTTTGGTATTCTGACAGCGGCTGGTGCATTGAAGACAGCGGGAGATTCCTCGATCAATGCTCACAAACGTTGAGGGAGGAATCGGTTAGATTTTCTTTATTCAGCCCACAGGTTGAACGATCAAAATAATACAACATACGGGCAGCTTTAGCCTTATTACAGCAAGGCATCACTTCATAACCTTATGCAATGTCACAACATTCCAGAGTTGCACTTATTTTTCTCCAAGATCTTGTAGTAATGACGGGAGAGTTGGACCATGGCGTAAAGTCTTCTCCTGCACATCCCAAAGATTCTCATTAGGGTTAAGATCCGGACTCTGCGGTGGCCAATCCATGTGTAATAATGATGTCTCATGCTCCCTAAACCACTCTTTCACAATATGACCTTAATGAATCCCGGCATTGTCATCTTGGAATATGCCCAATGTGTCATCAGGGAAGAAAAAATCCATTGATGGAAAAACCTGGCCATTCAGGTAGGCAGCTGATCTCATTTTTTGGGGACAAAAAACATTGCTGAGCCTAGACCTATTATCCAATGGAAGGCTCTGACCTATTTGCTTAGCTAAATATAGGTGGTGACTTTTTTGGCCATGCCTATTTGGTCCACCATTCCACTGAAGTCTAGAGTAAGTCTGCTACATTATATGCAGTGTCACCTTAGGGGGATGGATCCAGAAACATGGATGTTGATTCTTACCATAACCACAGGTATAAGTTGGTAAAGAAAAGCAATGCCTACTTGGCACAAGCCAAATCCGCCCCCACACAGCTATTATCACAACAGGTGACCCCATCGGAAGATTGTGTTACTATTCCTGATCCTGTGACACCTGTAAAACATTGTTGGACCTTGCAACACTTTCTGGGGGTTGCAAGGAGTTGGTTTCCCCACTGCAGCCTATGGAGTTCAACAGTAACAGCTACATATTTACAGCACAACATTATCTAGATTTATTTCAGAATTGAAATGTAGGAACAGCGCCATGGACCTACCTGAAGAAGCTCCAGAGTCATGGGGAGGATTTTAAGTTCCTTTAATAAATCTAAAGCCCCAGCCTGCAAAAAAAAAGCAGAAACATAATAAAACAAACTTGCAGAGCATCATGCGGAAGGCAAACAACCTAACAATGCAGATCCATCAAAGGCACTCCCATTGGATTTAAAATAACCTATTAGTGATTAAAGGAGAACTATGGGGTCAGGGCTTTTCCCCATAGTTCTCCTTAGGGTAACAGGAGGACACAAACTAGCGTCCTCCCGTCACCCTAGGCTCAGTATACCGCGAGCTACAGCTCGCGGTATACTGAGCTGCTGCTCGCGGTATACTGAGACGCCGCAGCTGAAGCGGATCCTGACAATTGTGCCGGGATCCGCCCAGCTGCGTGAGTGACAGTTGGCTCTGCCTATCTAGAAGGCAGAGCCAGCTGTACCCGCCCCTCCCCCGTCCGTTCCGCCAGTCAGCGCTGGCGGATCGGAGCGGGGAATCCAGCCCCTCCCCTGTCACGGCAGAGACCTGTGACAGGATCGAGAGGTGAGCCAACGCCGGTATATGTTCGCTCACCTCCCGATCTACTGAGCCGACCTGTGACAGTCTCATTGTCACAGGTCGGCTAGAACTATGAGGTGAGTGAAAAGCACTCGCCTCATAGTTCTCCTTTAAGATTTGTTTAAAGCAAACCTGTACTGTGTCCCATAAGGCACTGCAGTCATTACTCCCAGAGGCATGCTGGGATTTATAGTTAAAGTGCAGCTGAAGGGCTAGAGTTGCCCACCCCTGGGGTAAAATAACAGGAAGGGTATGGAGCACCTTCCACTCTCCCCTGTACATCCAAAGAAGCAAAACCTAGTACGTCCTTGACAGAGACACGCCTGACTCTCTCCCCTGCTTGCGAGTATCCCGCCAACTCCTGCCCAGTATACCCCTGGAGAATAATGGGGCGAGTATCCCACCACACTCCTGCCCAGTATACCCCTGGAGAATAATGGGGCGAGTATCCCACCACACTCCTGCCCAGTATACCCCTGGAGAATAATGGGGCGAGTATCCCACCACACTCCTGCCCAGTATACCCCTGGAGAATAATGGGGCGAGTATCCCACCACACTCCTGCCCAGTATACCCCTGGAGAATAATGGGGCGAGTATCCCACCACACTCCTGCCCAGTATACCCCTGGAGAATAATGGGGCGAGTATCCCACCACACTCCTGCCCAGTATACCCCTGGAGAATAATGGGGCGAGTATCCCACCACACTCCTGCCCAGTATACCCCTGGAGAATAATGGGGCGAGTATCCCACCACACTCCTGCCCAGTATACCCCTGGAGAATAATGGGGCGAGTATCCCACCACACTCCTGCCCAGTATACCCCTGGAGAATAATGGGGTGAGTATCCCACCACACTCCTGCCCAGTATACCCCTAGAGAATAATGGGGTGAGCATCCCGCCAACTCCTGCCCAGTGTACCCCTGGAGAATAATGGGGTGAGTATCCCACCACACTCCTGCCCAGTATACCCCTGGAGAATAATGGGGCGAGTATCCCACCACACTCCTGCCCAGTATACCCCTGGAGAATAATGGGGTGAGTATCCAGCCGCACACTTGCCCAGTATACCCCTGGAGAATAATGGGGTGAGTATCCAGCCGCACACTTGCCCAGTATACCCCTGGAGAATAATGGGGTGAGTATCCAGCCGCACACTTGCCCAGTGTACCCCTTGAGAGTAATCCAAAAAATAGACTGCCACCAGCACGATGTTTGAATGTCAATAAAGGTGCTTTTGCATACAAGCGTGCAACCCTGAATGCACAGTGGGGGGAATTTACCAAAACTGGAGCAGACAGAATCTGGAGCAGCTGCCCATGGCAACCAATCAGCTACTCTCCTCAATTTAGCTTTGAAAATGAAAGAGAGAAGCTGATTGGTGCTTCTGTCTGCTCCATTGTTGATAAATTCCCCTCACTGGGTTGTGCACTCATACGTATGCACGTGTTTATGGAAGTCCAGCATATACCCTATACAGCCATTCATTTCAATGGGTGGCTATAAGCAGTCTCTGTGGCTCCCTGGCAGTGGACATACACCAGAACCTATGCTATATAGCTACTGGCAGCCATGTGAATGAGCCCTGAGGGGGTGGGCCAGATAAAGTGACACATGGGGCGGTGATAACAGGGCAATGTCATATAACAATGTTGACATTTCACTTTTGGGTGCCTTTTCACTGGCATACAAGGAAGGATGTGATTGGTGGATATAGTATCCGTATTCTAATACAGCTGCGGTGGGCTACAGTTAATATACTGCGCCCGTCCCATAGCAACCAATCACCAAGCAGTTACCATTGATCCACTCGCTCTAGGCTGTGCAAAAACGACTTTTAATTTGTTGTTAGAATTAGCTAGCCCGGCTTTGTACGCTGTGATTCCTGAGCGAAAAACATTCCACATGTCCACGGGGGGAGAATAGTAATAAAAGGTGTGTGCTAAAACGGCGCAAGAGGCCTGTACCACCTCTTCACCCCTTCGTGCACAGCGTGCTGGACTCACTGTGTTCTTCTTCTGAACCATCCGCTCCATCTTCTTCGCGATACGTATAATCTCTTCCCCGCCTGACGCGCTCATCTCTGCACTACGTCTGACAATACACAATAGCACGAAGAAGCCGGCACAACAACAACACTCGAGGTAACGGCGATTTCCCGCTTAACGCGTCCTTCCCTTAACACAGCCGGAAGCCTGGCACGACAGCCCCAAACGGCGAAGTCGCAAGTATGTTATCGTTGTAGAAGATGACCGGCCCCTTCCGGGGAGGCACTGCGTACGCTCTGATCCTAGTTCCGCCCATAGTACGATACGATGGGGATTGCTGGCGCCACCTGTGGTTAGATGTGGGTAGTGCACACGGTGTTAGGCGCACAGCACTGCTCGATGTATTTCTGCTTTTGCAGTCAGATTTGGGGAACCACCTTCCCCCACACTATATGAGTGTCATGTGTTCCCATTCATACAGCATTCCGAAATATTTTTTAACCATCTGAGTACTGGCATGTGAAACCCTGACTGTGACCCCTTTTTGGAAAGCAGGAGCCCCAAAGTGATCAGATTTTTGGTACAATTCTTTGAAAATGAAGACACATGCCAGTATTGAGGGGGATAAAACATGGAGCTTGGCACTAGAAACATAACATGTACAGGGGGAGGTGGAGGTGAAAGGGTTAATATACAAATCACCTACAGTAGGAGGATGGAGATGAAGGGGTTAATAGGCAGGTCAAGCGATAGAATGGATCTGACATATACAGGAGAGGATAAATACGTACACTGTACGTCGTCAGTCACGAAGGGGTTAAATGTGACAAACTTTATTATTCTTTGCTGCTGCAGCTTGTTTTCACTAGGAAGTAATGAATGGATGGCTTATTCACTCATTGCTTCCTTTAGTCTCCCCTGCCTCTGTTGTAAGAGGAAAGGGAGGGCTTGGCAATGTAAACATTGTCATGTGATCGAGGTGATAACCAATCACAGAGATCGCATGGCACAGAGGTCTGATCGCTCTGTGCCTGAAGTCTAATGAGAGCGGGAGCAGCACATTCTACCTGCACATACAATCGGGAACAGGAGGATGTTCAGGTACTTCTACAGAACAATGGGTCAGAGGACCAGCCGTATATGTATAGCAGCCTTTCTCAACCAGGGTGCCATGGCATCCTAGCACATATCCAAAAGGAAAGTAAGTTGTTCTACCACCTCTCCCAGGTAATGACACAGAACTGCAAAGCTCGGCGGGGTCTCTGCTTCACCCAAAGCAAGTACAGGTCACTCCACGGTGCCGTTCCTTTCATTCCCATGGCACCTTAGGGTGCCTAGAAATTTTCACACAGCATCATGACTCTGATGTGAAAGAGAGGGACTCTGATGTGAAGGGGCTTCTAATTTCAAGAGGGTTTCCTAGTGCGAAACAGGGGGACTCTGATGTGAAGGGGGGTTTCTGATTTAAAGAGGGTCTCCTAGTGTGAGGGGGGGGGGCTTCTGATGGGAGGGGGGGCTTTTGATTTGGGTCGCCTAGTGTGAAAGAGGGGACTCTGATGTGAAGGGGGGTTTCTGATTTGAAGAGGGTCTCCTAGTGTGATAGAGGGGACTCTGATGTGAAAGAGGGGGTTTCAGATTTGAAGAGGGTCGCCTAGTGTGAAAGAGGGGACTCTGATGTGAAGGGGGGTTTCTGATTTGAAGAGGGTCTCCTAGTGTGATAGAGGGGACTCTGATGTGAAAGAGGGGGTTTCAGATTTGAAGAGGGTCGCCTAGTGTGAAAGAGGGGACTCTGATGTGAAGGGGGGTTTCTGATTTGAAGAGGGTCTCCTAGTGTGATAGAGGGGACTCTGATGTGAAAGAGGGGGTTTCAGATTTGAAGAGGGTCGCCTAGTGTGAAAGAGGGGACTCTGATGTGAAGGGGGGTTTCTGATTTGAAGAGGGTCTCCTAGTGTGATAGAGGGGACTCTGATGTGAAAGAGGGGGTTTCAGATTTGAAGAGGGTCGCCTAGTGTGAAAGAGGGGACTCTGATGTGAAGGGGGGTTTCTGATTTGAAGAGGGTCTCCTAGTGTGATAGAGGGGACTCTGATGTGAAAGAGGGGGTTTCAGATTTGAAGAGGGTCGCCTAGTGTGAGAGAGGGGACTCTGATGTGAAAGAGGGCGACTCTGATGTGAAGGGGGGGCTTCTGATTTGAAGAGGGTCTCCCAGTGTGAGAGGGGGACTCTGATGTGAAGGGGAGCTTCTGATTTGAAGAGGGTCTCCTAGTGTGAGAGGGGGGGCTCTGATGTGAAAGAGGGGGACTCTGATGTGAAGGGGAGGCTTCTGATTTGAAGAGGGGATCCCAGTGTAAGAGGGGGACTCTGATGTGAAGGGGGGGTTTCAGATTTGAAGAGGGTCGCCTAGTGTGAGAGAGGGGACTCTGATGTGAAAGAGGGCGACTCTGATGTGAAGGGGGGGCTTCTGATTTGAAGAGGGTCTCCCAGTGTGAGAGGGGGACTCTGATGTGAAGGGGAGCTTCTGATTTGAAGAGGGTCTCCTAGTGTGAGAGGGGGGGCTCTGATGTGAAAGAGGGGGACTCTGATGTGAAGGGGAGGCTTCTGATTTGAAGAGGGGATCCCAGTGTAAGAGGGGGACTCTGATGTGAAGGGGGGGTTTCAGATTTGAAGAGGGTCGCCTAGTGTGAGAGAGGGGACTCTGATGTGAAAGAGGGCGACTCTGATGTGAAGGGGGGGCTTCTGATTTGAAGAGGGTCTCCCAGTGTGAGAGGGGGACTCTGATGTGAAGGGGAGCTTCTGATTTGAAGAGGGTCTCCTTGTGTGAGAGGGGGGCTCATATGTGAGAGGAGGGGGCTCCTGATGTAAAGGGGGACTCTTATGTGAAAGGTGGCACTCTGTGTTCTTGCATGGGGTCCCCCCTTAAAATTCATGCCAGATCCCTATCTGGGATAAAGGTCTGGTATGGGAAGGACTCCACGTCATTTTTTAAATTTTAGGCAGGGGCGTCTCAAGATGTAGTTTACTTGTAAAAGGTGCCATGACTGAATAAGTGTGAGAAATGCTGATGTATGGTGTCTGGTCCACAGGTGGTTCATATGTTTTACTTTCTTTGGATTATACATAGGACACTACAAGCAGCTTCTATTGCTTAGAATAGATGGCAGTGTGCAGATAGCAGAAGACTGAGACTACAATCACACGTTATGCAGTGACATGCGTTTTTCTGTACATGAACAACGCCAGTCATCATCAGGGCACATAAACAATTGTTTTCTGTGTGCCTCGCTCATACCACAACATTGGGGTGATGTGTGGTATAGAAAATTGCAGACATCAGCATTTTTCCATAGCGCACTGAATTGCACCACCACAGGTTGAATGATGCTGGTCATCAAACTGAGGACATCCTGAAAAAGGTAATGTGAGGGAATCTCTGTATTGAAGGGGAACATTGCAACAAAAGCTGATTTTGTTATTTTATCTTTTAAAAGAGAACTAAAGCCAAACCTTTCTTTGGCCTCTTTTGGGTCAATGAAATACATTTACTAATGTCCTCCTGTGACCCAAAGCCAGCATCTAGTGGGCTACTACCCTATATACTGGCAGTGCAGAGCCACGCTACAGCCAGAAAAGATTCTAACAATAGTCGGGATCCATCCCACTGACTGATTGACAGCTGGCTCTGCCTATGTAGAGCCAGACCCAGCTGTGCCCTCCTCCTCCCGTGTGTTCCTCCAATGCGCGCTGGAGGAACAGAGAAGGGAAGCAGGAATCCCTGCGGGGGGTAGTGACTGACAGTCACCGCTCTCTGCAGGGAGAAAACAGAAAGCTGAGTGCTCAGCGGTATGTGATCGTTCAGCTCTCGCGTATCACCTGCAATGTCACATGCCGGCTCTAAGAATTGGGAAGAGTACATTATACTCCCAATACTTCTCCTTTCATTGACTATTCTTTTATCTTTCATTTTTTTCATCTGGAGGTCTGTTTTGTGTTAAAGTTTATCTAAACCCAAGAACAAAGCAGCACTGCCACAAGAAGATAGGAGGTGTGTTAGGACTACTGGTCATGCCTGATGAAGGGACCCCAAGTGGCCCTGAAACGCTGCGATGTGACAAGATGTGTGTGCATCAATAAATTGATCACTTCTTGAAGATTGAACCATGGTATGCTGGTGACATAGTTTAGTACTGGAATCTGAAGTGGCGCCATCCGAGGTCACTATAGCACCCACCCGCAAGGGACATACCAGTAAGGAATGCGGTAGGGCTCTCCTCCATTAGGACTACAGGTGAAGTCCCCCTTCTCATCTCCAGAACATAAGGAGGAGAAGTTCAGTTGTCCACAAAGAAAATATTCACGTACCTTAACTATTAACAAAAATGTATCTTATGTGTGTGTCACTCAGCTGTAAACCCTTAAATCATCTCTGAGTTCATACCGACACTGTCCTTCCTTCTGGAGGGTGGCTACTTTTGTTGGTCCCTGTGTGTGCTGTAAAGTAGCCACCGCTCTGAGCTCACTCCTGTGATGGACTACAATCTCATGTTTAGTTTACCAATTTGTTTTGGGATTGTAGTCCATCTATGGTTATTTTAGCTGCCAACAAAAAGAAAGTAATTAATTTACCCAAAGTTTTAGACAGTCCTGGAATCGGGCGATTCAGCAACACATATTGGTGATCCTCACCCCAGTAACACTAAATATTAGCGCAAAAAGCCAGTTCCAAAAGGGTCTCAATCTAGAGCATTCCCACCATATGTGATACATCATGCTCAGGTGAGCAAATCCCCGAAAACAATGAGAAACCTCTGGGTATATTCTCGCTAATCTGGCAGGAACCATATACCACCTAGATAAAACCTTATAATTAGCTTCTATTAGTGAAATATTTAGTAAACCCGATGACACACGGGAGGATCATTGATGCCAGACATCCAGTGGAATATCCGTTTCCAGGTCCTGTTCCCAAGCTAACATATAGGGTAAATTTACTTTCAAAGTCTACCAAGAGGAATAGAGCAGCGAGACTGCCCCCCACCACTGGCCCCCAGCTCCAAGACACCAATCTTCGTAGGTTGTTTTAAAGGGAGACATCACGTTAGGTATTTTCAAAGAACCTAAAAAGTGTACCAATTGTCTATAGTGAAAGTATTCAGAGGATGGCGTGTGCAAAACCCTTCCGACAGTAGGTCAAAATAAGTGGCTTACGACCTTTAAAAAATTTGTGCTATGTGGTACAGGCATTTGTCTTGCCACCAATGGAACACTCCAGGAGAGGTTCCATTAGGATCCAAT